ATGCATCAAAAATCCCAGGTTCAGAAAGGTAAATGCGTAAAAAAGGGACAAATTTTAGCAGATGGTGCTGCTACAGTTGGTGGTGAACTCGCTTTGGGAAAAAACGTATTAGTAGCTTATATGCCATGGGAAGGTTACAATTCTGAAGATGTTGTACTCATTAGTGAGCGTCTGGTCTATGACGATATTTATACTTCTTTTCACATACGGAAATATGAAATACAGACTCATGTGACAAGCGATGGTCGTGAAAGAATCACTAATAAAATTCCACATCTAGAAGGCTATTTACTCCGAAATTTAGACAAAAATGGAATTGTCATTCTGGGATCTTGGGTAGAAACGAGCGATATTTTAGTGGGTAAATTAACGCCTCAAATGGCAAAAGAATCCTCCTATGCCCCGGAAGATAGATTATTACGAGCTATACTTGGGATTCAGGTATCCACCTCAAAGGAAACTTGTCTAAAACTACCTATAGGTGGTAGGGGCCGAGTTATTGATGTGAGATGGATCAAGGGTTCTAGCTATAATCCAGAAACGGTTCAGATATATATTTCACAGAAACGTGAAATCAAAGTAGGTGATAAAGTGGCCGGGAGACATGGAAATAAAGGTATCGTTTCAAAGATTTTGTCTAGACAGGATATGCCTTATTTGCAAGATGGAAGACCCGTTGATATGGTCTTCAATCCATTAGGGGTCCCTTCTCGAATGAATGTAGGACAGATATTGGAATGTTCACTCGGGTTAGCTGGGAGTATGCTAAATAGACATTATCGAATAGCACCTTTTGATGAGAGATATGAACAAGAGGCTTCCATAAAACTTGTGTTTTCTGAATTATATGAGGCTATTAAACAAACATCGAATGCATGGATATTTGAACCTGAGTATCCGGGAAAGAGCAGAATATTTGATGGAAGAACAGGGAATCCTTTTGAACAGCCCGTTATAATAGGAAAGCCTTATATCTTGAAATTAATTCATCAAGTTGATGATAAAATACATGGACGTTCCAGTGGACATTATACACTTGTTACACAACAACCCCTTAAAGGAAGGGCCAAAGGGGGAGGACAACGGGTAGGCGAAATGGAGGTTTGGGCTCTCGAGGGGTTCGGTGTTGCTCATATTTTACAAGAGATGCTGACTTATAAATCGGATCATATTAAAGGTCGTCAAGAAGTACTTGGAACTACAATTATTGGAGGAACAATACCGAAACCTGTAGATGCTACAGAATCGTTTCGATTGCTCGTTCGAGAACTACGATCTTTGGCTCTGGAACTGAATCATTTCCTTGTATCTGAGAAAGACTTTCAGATTCAAAGGAAGGAAGTTTAATTGGACTGAATCGGAATTTTTATTTTATGATTGATCAGTATAAACATCAACACCTTCGAATTGGATCAGTTTCTCCTGAACAAATAAGTGCTTGGACAAAAAAAATCCTACCCAATGGAGAAATAGTTGGGGAGGTAACAAAACCCTATACTCTTCATTATAAAACCAATAAGCCTGAAAAAGATGGATTATTTTGTGAAAGAATTTTTGGGCCTATAAAAAGTGGAATTTGTGCTTGTGGAAATTATCGAGTAATCGGAGATAAAAAAGACCAACCAAAATTTTGTGAAAAATGCGGAGTAGAATTTGTTGATTCTCGGATACGTAGATATCAAATGGGGTATATCCAATTAGCATGTCCTGTAACCCATGTGTGGTATTTGAAACGTCTTCCTAGTTATATCACGAGCCTTTTAGATAAACCTCTTAAAGAATTAGAGAATCTAGTATACCGCGATGTGTGATTTGATAAAAATTCTTATTGTACAGATTTCGAATGATAAACTGTCATTCCATTCAATTAAATGGGAATGTCCTATATATGGCATGTCTCTTGGGATGAGTAACATGAAGCTCAGAATTCATGGGTGTATTGAATACTCCCCAATCAAAAAGGGAATTGGTCTATGGTCAATTCAGTAACAAATAACTATTTACTGTATGTACCTTGTGAAAAAAAAATACTTTTTTGTGGAATTCATTATTCCATCTCTTTTTTTTTAAAAGAACTCAAATTATGTTCAAAGAATAAAATATATCATGATTGCAGAAGTTTATCTATCGCATATAGGCTTTAAGACATCGTGGCAGACCCGTCGAGGTGACGTCTTGACCTAAAAGATCGAACGGTATGATACATAGACAAAGAAATCTCTTATGAATTTGAGGATATTCCTTTTTTATTAAGAATTTCATTTTAGAGGATTCCTCGTTCGAAGGGAGGTAGACTACTCAAGAATTTTACATTTTATTTCTGTCTTAATTTCGAATTGGATAAAAAATTCAGAAAAAAAAGAAGAATGTATCAATGAAATGTTGCTTGGTCTTTATTGATAACTTGAGTAAAGAGTAAACCTTTTTGATTTTAGATTAGAGGTTTTCTAAAATTGGAAAGCGAAAACCCCTTTCTTTATCTTTAATTGTGTGCAAATACTTTAGCCGGATGAGAGGAAACCCTTATGTCCGATTTTAAAGAGGGCGGTCCATCTTATTGGATCCTATCCAAATTTTTCTCTTGCTAGGCCCGTAGTTAAAAAACCAACTTTCTTACGATTACGAGGTTCATTCAAATATGAAATCCAATCCTGGAAAGACAGTATCCCACTCTTTTTTGATACTCAAGGTTTCGATACATTTCGAAATAGAGAAATTTCTAGTGGAGCGGGTGCTATACGACAACAATTAGTTGATCTGGATTTAAGAATTATTATGGATTCTTCGTTGCTAGAATGGAAAGAATTAGGAAAAGAGGGGTCCAATGACAAATGGGAAAATCAAAAAGTTTGAAGAAGAAAGAATTTTTTGGTTCGACGCATGGGATTAGCTAAGCATTTTCTCCTAACAAATATAGAACCAGAATGGATGGTTTTATGTCTCTTACCAGTTCTTCCTCCCGAATTGAGACCAATTATTCAAATAGATGGCGGTAAACTAATGAGTTCGGATATTAATAAACTCTATAAAATAGTTATCTTTCGGAACAATACTCTTATTGAGCTATTAAGAACAAGTGGATTTACACCAGCGAAATTAGTAATGTCTCAAGAAAAATTGGTACAAGAAGCCGTGGATGCACTTCTTGATAATGGAATCCGCGGACAACCGATGAGGGACGGTCATAAGAAAGTTTACAAATCGTTTTCCGATATAATTTTGGGCAAAGAGGGAAGATTTCGAGAGACTCTTCTTGGAAAACGAGTTGATTATTCGGGGCGTTCTGTTATTGTCGTAGGTCCATTACTTTCATTACATCGATGTGGATTGCCCCCCGAAATAGCAATAGAGCTATTTCAGACATTTCTAATTCGTGGTTTAATTCGAAACCATATTGCTTCGAACATAGGAGTTGCTAAGAGTCAAATCCGGGAAAAAGAACCAATTGTATGGGAAATACTTCACGAAGTTATGCGGGGACATCCAGTATTGCTGAATAGAGCGCCTACTTTGCATAGATTGGGCATACAGGAATTTCAACCCATTTTAGTAGAAGGACGTGCTATTTGTTTACATCCATTGGTGTGTAAGGGATTCAACGCAGACTTTGATGGGGATCAAATGGCTGTTCATGTGCCTTTATCTTTGGAGGCTCAAGCAGAAGCTCATTTACTTATGTTTTCTACTATGAATCTCTTGTCTCCGACTATTGGGGATCCTATTTCTGTACCAACTCAAGATATGCTTATTGGACTTTATGTATTAACTAGCGGAAATCGTCGAGGTATTTGTGCAAACAGGTATAATTGGTTTAATTGCAGAAATTCTCAAAATGAAAAAATGAGCAATAATAACTTTAAGAACTTGAAGTATATGAAAAAAAAGAACCCTGTTTTTGCAATTCCTATAATGCAATTGGAGCTTATAGACAGAAAAGAATAAATTTGGATAGTCCTTTTTGGCTCCGGTGGCAAATACATCAATGCATTATGTCTTCAAGAGAAGTTCCTATCGAAGTTCACTATGAATCTTTTGGTACCTATTATGAGATTTATGAGGATTATTTAGTAATAAGAAGTATAAAAAAAGAAATTCGTTGTATATACATTCGAACCACTATTGGTCATATTTCTTTTTATCGAGAAATCGAAGAAGCTATACAAGGTTTTTCTCGAGCCAATTCATCATATAGTATCTAATCATATAGATGGTTAGTGTTGGTATCCACGCTAAGTAAATTTAGGATACTTGTGTAAATTCAGGTCAACTAGCATCTTTTCAATTTTCTACGTAAATAAACATAAAGAAAAGGGAGTTTTCCAATCATTCACTCAAATCTATTGTCGTCGAACCGAATACCACTGAGTGGAATATGGAGGGACTTATGGCAGAAGGGACCAATCTAGTCTTTCACAATAACGTGATAGGTGGAACTGCCATTAAACGACTTATTAGCAGATTAATAGATCATTTCAGAATGGCATATACATCACACATCCTGGATCAAGTAAAGACTCTAGGATTCCATCAAGCTACTGCTACATCTATTTCATTAGGAATTGATGATCTTTTAACAATACCTTCTAAAGGATGGCTAGTCCAAGATGCTGAACAACAAAGTTCCATTTTGGAAAAACATAATCATTATGGGAATGTCCATGCGGTAGAAAAATTACGCCAATCCATTGAAATATGGTATGCTACAAGCGAATATTTGCGACAACAAATGACTCCCAATTTTAGGATGACTGACCCCTTTAATCCAGTCCATATAATGTCTTTTTCAGGAGCTAGAGGAAATGCATCTCAAGTACACCAATTAGTCGGAATGAGAGGATTAATGTCAGATCCACAAGGACAAATGATTGATTTACCCATTCAAAGCAATTTTCGTGAAGGACTGTCTTTAACAGAATATATAATTTCTTGCTACGGAGCCCGTAAAGGGGTTGTAGATACTGCTGTACGAACATCAGATGTTAGATATCTTACACGTCGACTTGTTGAAGTGGTTCAACACATTGTTGTATGGAGAACAGATTGCGGTACCATCCGTGGGATTTCTGTAAGCATCCGAAATGGAATGATGCCAGAAAGAAGTTTGATACAAACATTAAATGGTCGTGTAGTAGCAGACAATATATATATATAGGTTCACGGTGCATTGTCGTTAGAAATCAAGATATTGGAATTGGACTTATCAATCGATTCATAACTTTTCAAACACAACCCATATTTATTCGAACCCCCTTTACCTGTAGGAATACGTCGTGGATCTGCCGATTGTGTTATGGGCGGAGTCCTATTCATGGGGACCTGGTAGAATTGGGAGAAGCTGTAGGCATTATTGCTGGTCAATCTATTCACTACAAGAAAAAAAGAGATTTACGACACTTGAGTTGCGATAGTTATCACAAAATTGTCCTTATTTATGGATTGCGACGGTTGTCACGACAGTTAGGATCAACTGTCGTAGATTTTTTGCGACAGTTATCAAAAAACCGTCCTTATTCCTAGAATACGACAGTTCTCACAACGGTTTGAGCCAACCGTCGCAAATTTTTTAGCCATGTTGTATAAAATAATGCGACAGTTACCAAAGAACCGTCGTCTTTCCACCCTCGCGACAGTTAAGGCGAACCGTCGCAATTACTTTAGCCAATCATAATCACTATTTTTTTATTCCTTTAATTTTCCACTTTTTTCTTTCATTTTTATTTTCTAACCTTTTCAATTTTATTAATTAATTTAATAAATAATTATTATAGTTATTATAAATTTTTATGATAATGTAGTTTAATATTTTTGTCTAAAGTAATAGTAAAATATTTTCTATTTTATTATATAAATAGTTAACTTTTATTAAAATTAATTTTGGTTGTTATTGTTCTTTGCCTCACAAATTGATATTAAATTTTATCGTAATTTACAATAAGATTCACAGTAATATTAGTATTACTTCTTTGTAATCAAGCTCATATATATTTTATTAGTCATCTAACAATCTTAATCATAAATTCATAACAATTATAATAAATTTTAAAACACAAAAGATAAAAATATAAAAAATTAATTTTTAAAAATAATTTATATAAAATCATTAGTAATATATAAGTATGTTTTTCGTAATTTAATTTTTATTAAATTATCATTTTACTATTTTCGTAATTTAATTTTTATTAAATCTGGACACAGCCAAACCATAACCCACCTCTCAACAATGGCGAACAACGAACTTTAATCTCTAGATTTAGGTTACGATCCCAACTTCTTTTTCAATTCCTTCAAAACCAAATCATCGTTCATTTCCTCTTCTCTATATATTTCTTCCACTCTCTCTGTGTGCG